TTTTTGGCTTATTCCATTCTGAGAGCAAACTGCTTCAACATTTCAATGTTTACTTTGTACACATTCCCTTGTTCCATGTTTTCGTATCACAAAATTCTACCTCAAATTCAATGCGTAACGGATCTTTAATACAGCTCAAAAAATCTTGAAAGTACGCAAAAATGACGTTAGTTCAAATTATTCAATCCTCTGTAATTACCTCATGACAACACCAGTTAATATTATCGTTTTATTTTTTCACTTATCCGATAGAAGTGATGAAATCTGATAGAAAGTCGCAATCACTGATTTCAATGAATAGAATGACTGATAGCTTCACTCAACGAAAGATATCTACAAGTGTTAGTGATATGTACTTTTACAAATCCTAACAACAGCTCCAAATTGGAAACTAGCCTTTCTCGTCCATGAAACACATAGCTTGACCACTGTCCAGTTGAAATACTTTTTTCACACTTAATTCACATCTTATTATGAGTTCCATTCTAGTCAACTAAATTCTGTAAACATATTACTCAAGCTTACTTTTAAAACAAATTCAGTATAACTATAATGAAGGAAACACCCGCGAGAAGTTAAATATATTTAAATACAGCATTTGTCTGTATATTGTCGTTCTATAGCAAATATCACATTAAATATCATTTAGCGAATTTATTTTTCAGATATCGTGTGATTTGGTAGTCTTGTAATGTAAATTATTAAAAAAAATTTATCAAGTGATTTAAATTACTATTTTCACCATACACGCACATCTATGCAAAAAATTAACATTCATTTATGGAAAGCAAAATGCATGAAAGTCAAATAAATGAATTTTTGAAATCACAACGATTCATTTCTATTGTGATTAGGTGATCGTTGGCCAACTAATCACAATAGAAATGAATCGTTGTGAAAGTGTTGTTTGGTAGTATTATCAATGAGTTTCATTCGGTTTATAATCCGATTGATATGTTGATAAAGTTATTGAATTTCTTTAAAGTTTCATCCTCAACCATTCCCAATCACTCTTTCCATTTCCATTCCTTTGCTTGTTTCCTTCTCCTCTCTGAATTCATCGCAATCAGTCGTACATCCTTTAATTCCCCTCCATTATTTTTTGTGTTTATGCTTAATTTTTACCCCTTTAAAGGTAGCAATGAATAATTTTGAAGACAATCAGCAGAAAGGTCCACCACCATATGGTTTGTTGTTATAAAAGTTTTGAGGAGTTCTGTTTGTTTTTTCAGTTAGAAACTCGTTATTTTCGTAGTAAGCATTAATTTGTATTATAATATTGGCTTAGGACCTATCCAGAAAATGTACCAACTCTGTTAATGCAATGATGACCATAACATTGCAGAGACAACAGTCGACTCAAACACAAATGTCGATGGAATACCACAAACAACAGAAAAATATGAGTCTTATCCACCATTGTCACAACCATCTAATAATCCTGAACATATGCCACAAACATTACCGATTGTCATTGGTGCATCAGTTTTTGGACCACGTTCCTGTACAATGACTTGCTTCAATTGCAATAAAGCCATTGTTACGGAAACACATACGCGTGCCGGTTTACTAGCATACACGATCTGTGGAATACTGCTACTTTTTGGGTTTGTAATTTTGTGCGTTTTGTTCTTGAAAGTATCATACGAGTCGAATTTAGCTTGAGTCAGTGGAATGATTTCCGAGCTTATTTTCATTTCAAATCCAAAATGAATCTCTAACTTTATAATGTTCAAATAATTTGTCGAGATGTACTACTATTACCGCATATGAGTAGCATATACATAGCATTTTTTAATGAGAATCAATCTTATTAATGCTTAGTATTTTTTGGAAGAAACTTCAGTTTTGCAAATAGTACTACAGTTTTTATTTTACAGTTGCTGGCTTGGTTGCTGCTTAATTCCTTTCTGCGTTAAGGATTGCTTGGTAATTCATTTTTTTCTCTTTCCATTCAAATTAAGTTTTGGATCAAAGCCTTTTTATTAGTGTATCGATTGTTATCTGACTGTCGTGATCTCTTCAAATCACCGTATTCATAAAGTGCTTTTCATTGTAGGATGTGAATCATACTTGCCCTAACTGCAAAATATTATTGGGATCGTACAAAAAGATTTGAGATAGCAGGAAAAACAGTATAGCATCCGGATCGAATCGTGCAAGTGATCGTGGAGCGGAAACTTTTGTCGCTTTTTCATTTTCAAATAACACCTAGATTACTTTTCTATTTTTTTATTATATTTAATACCAATGTTTTTGTTTTATATAATTACCTTTAATCAATATCTTATTGGAATAAGTTTTGAGATTTGTGATGAGATTCTGATTCGAGCGAGCAATTATAATGAATTACGTTTTCTATCGATTTTTCCAGATTGTTGATTTCTTTAACCTCGTTACTTTAGATAGTGCATAACCTCTTTACTTTAGATAGTGCATTACCAATGATGTGTGTTTCTGTGTTCCAGCGACGAGACGCTACGTCAAAAAAAAATTTGAGCATATTACCTAAAGCTAATGAAGGCAGTAATCGTTGATGTGTTGTCTAGATAATGTGATGAATTAAAATAATAGGTTTGTGATGGAAATTTGTGCTCATTACTAAATATATTAAGCATATCAAATGTGTTTTTGTTATTTGCATGTGAAATTAATGAATCCAATCTAGCGTTTTCTGTTTGAAAATCCAGACGGCAGTTATGGACTATCATCTTACAGAGACACATTGCTTACACTTAACAGATATAGCTGGTGTGTTCGACTATTACACTTTAACAAACT